GCCTGCTCACCTTCGTAGGCCTGGTGCACCAGGTTGAAGAGCTGCTCCGCCTGCCTCTTGAGCTCGGGGTCCCTGTGCTTGTCGGGGTGGTAGAGCATGCACAGCCGGCGGTACGAGGCCCTCAGCTCCTCCTGCGTCGCCTGGATACCGCAGCGAGAGGGAATCAGGACAGAGACATCAGAAAGCTCACAAACCGGAGGAGCAGAAGAGGTGGCACATCCTACTTCATTCGGGTGCTAGTTAGCTCACTGGCTTCATCAGCCTGCTTCCTGCTGCATCGGCGTCCGAAACAGGCTCGGACGGCGCGGTGCAAACACGCAAATCAGGCACAGATGTTTAAAGTCCCAATTTCGCAGAACAGTTATTCAATCTCGGGGACAAAATAAATGAATTGGCGGGATAGAAAAAAATGACACATTTGGAATAAAGCACAAAATCATGAACTTTGTGAAGGTACTGCAAGTCGCCATGTTGTCAGAAACTCGAATTCGCGTTCCCGGGAATCACAACGTGATGTGGCCCTTCCTGCTCCCTAGTCCCCATAATGAATAAAGTAACGGGAGGAATGAGCATATGAATACGGGTTTTGCAGCAGATATTTCACCACAGAAATGTTCCAACGTGATCTGCATGCAGAATTAACAGAATTAACAAGTAAGTAGCGTTTGGAGGCAAAACCATCTCAAAATCAAGAGTAATATTTCTTTGGATTGAAGGAGAATGCATTCCGCTTGTTTACAGTGTCACAGGAAGTTTTATTCCCTTGTGCTAAAGCGCAGAACATGGCCCTGCGCAGACCTGGGAATTTTGTCTGTTTTGTGTTAATTGGAGGTTTTACGTGTTGCTGCGTACATTTGGCTTTCAAAAACAGTGACCTTCAAAAGTCAGTGTTAGCCTCTCCTGTCTGACCTGGGGACTCACAGCAGTGCCCTGCTCTGACGGGCCCGGAGAACTGAAGGCTCTGAAGGGACCCAATTCAAGCAAGCATTTCAAGCCCCCCCCGAGTGCAGCTAGCGACCGAAAAAGAGGCAAGTAGGGCCCCCAGCAGCCCCGCCTGCCAGACAGGAGAACGTGCGCTGGAGGAGCCTGACAGCAGGAGGGGGAGGGAAGTCCGAAGAAAGCCGGAGCGCCAGCACTCCCAGCTGTAAGGGATGGAAGCGAAGAAGGGAGGAAGGGAGAAAGACAGAGGACGAAGAGAAGAGAGAGACAGGTGTTTGTGTGGGATACGAACGGCGTCAGTGTCCTCTCGTGGGCCGGATAAAGAGGGAGCAAGCGAGAAGGGGGGAAGGGACAGAGTGCTGCCGACCGAGACGCGTGAAGAGAGGCAGAAAGACAGGAAGAGAGAGAGAGAGCTCTTTGACAACCCAGCTCTTTCCTTCCTTGAACTCTCGACTGCCCGAGGCCATCACCTCCCAAGCCCCAACCTTCGGTAATAAGATCACTTTATTGGCCACGTACAATTTCTTGCATTAGGAATTTGTCTTTTCGCAGACCCCAGCTTGCTCTCCCTGAGACACACAGACAGGGAGAGAAGCTGGGGGTCAGAGCGCAGGGTCAGCCATTTATAGGGCGCCCCTGGGGCAGCTGGGGTGAAGGGCCTTGCTTAGGGGCCCAACGGAGTAGGATTCCTCTGCCGGCCGCGGGATACGAACCGGCAACCTTCCAGCCACAGGCGCAGATCCTGAGCCACAGAGCCACCACTCCGCCCAAAGCTTATAGCACCTGGTATTCCCAGGCCGTCTCCCATCCAAGTACCAACCAGGCCCGACCCTGCTTAGCTTCCGAGATCAGACGAGATGGGGCGTGCTCAAGGTGGTGTGGCCCTAAACAGCCAAAGCAGTCACTAAGACCTCAAGGCACCTCGGCCAAGCCCCACACCGAGCTGTCCAGACTGGGCTATTTATTTTAATACATGTCGGACAAGCCCAGCAATCAAACCCTTCGTTCCCCACCCCCTAGTCGCGAAATGAGGCCAGCTTTCTCCATCTATAAACCGATAATGACAAATGGCCTCACGGGCTATTGACAAGTGAGAACAGTTTAATTTCTCCATAACAGCTTTCTTTTCCAATACAGCATCAGACAGGCAGCTTCATCACGCTGGAGGCAGCTAAGGTCATCTGTTCAATACAGCAAGAGTGATAACTACCTTCAGAGAGAGTTATAAATTTCAGATACAGTGAGAGCAGACGTCCTTAATGAATATGCATCACAGCCATTTTATGCCTCCAGCTTATTTTTAACCTCAAGTGCTTAAACTTCCCTGTGTTCAAGATGATGAATTTAAATGCCCTCCCTTCATGGATTCATAAGAAATGTCGGATTTCAAGGTACTTTGAGGCCCATGCTTATTTGCAGTCAGCTGTGTGCAATTTCAAGCTAAATGGCATACTGTCCAAACAGTTACTAATCATGTAGATTGCCAGGGCAAAGAAAACAAAGGCGTTTAATGCAGAAATAGAGTGGAAGATACTGGCTGAGTAACGGCCCAATTGCTTTCATCCATTACAAGCACTTATCGAAATGCACTGGTATTATTCGCTCCACATCTGTCTTCAGACGCAAAGCCTGGCGCTCCACAGGACACTTTCACATAGACACAGGCCCAGCACTCGCTAAAACCTGAAACAGCTGTACCCACTCTGCAAGGCTGCCCAACTTGCTGAACCAGTTCACTTGCTCTTCTAGAGCGCAGGCCGATCTCTCCTGCACACCGCTCACCTGTTCAATACCCACACATCCCTCCCGGCACCCCGGCTCAGCCCTGCCTCTCTGCCTACCACACAGCAGGGACCCCTAAGGGTAGCAAGTAAAGTGGTGGGCGCACTGAGAATAGCAGCTACAGAAGCAGTGGCGATAAGTGGTAAATGAAAAATGGTGCTCTTGTCACCTAAGAGCCTCAACACTCCCTGAATGCATGCTCTCCCTCCTGAGAAGCCCTTTATCCAATTCAGACAGCACGCTAGGGACAGAACTCAGGCTCCAGCACTGCAAGGGGGGGGTAAGATCAACCTATCCAACTACTGTTTAACCGTTTCATCCATCTCAGGGTCAGGGGGAGCCGGAGGCTATCCCAGCAGGCAACAGGCACAGCGCAGTGTACCCAGGGCAGGGGCCAGTCAACCGCAGGGCACACCCAGAAACCCCCACACGGGCCAGTTTTCCCAGAAGCCAGCATGGAGGAAACTGACGCACCTGGAGGAAACCCATGTGAACATGGGGGGAGCATGCAAACTCCACCCAGACAGACCCCCAGGGCCCCAGTGCTGTGAGGCTGCTACTTTTTACTTTATCGGTTTCATTTTCATTTATTACTTTATTAAGTTATTTTACTTGAAGATCCTCAGCGTCTTTATGTTGTGAAATATGTGACATTCCTCAAATGAGCCTACTGCCCAAAGTGCTCTCAGCTGTCAAGGGTTAGTGGAATGTGGAAAGTATCCAAAGGGTGTCCACTAAGAACCCAGCTGCTCTACAGGAGAAGGCACTGGTTGAAATAAACATGAACTGGGCACACGATGTAAGAGGTCCACATGTAGCCAATTCAACAAACTTAATAATTATTATCGAGGGGTTTATCCTAATAAAACCTCCTCCTGAATAAAGCTTTGAGCCATTCCAGTGCATAATGTTGACAACCACAAAATGAAACGTGTTGGTGCTTCTCTTCCTTCCCAGTTAAATCCGTTAGAATTGCATCTACTTTTTCTTTAGAACACCTTCTACAGAAAGCAGCAGATTGCAAAGCCTGAAAATGGAAACAAAAACAAACTTATTCCACAGTATCGAGGCACGTTACTCTGCTGCTGTCGATGACAGAGGAGTAAAGGTGCCCAGCCGCAGGACAGCAATGGGGAGAGGGTTCCACAAATTTTTAACTGCACAACTGCCACAAGAGATAGTATAACTCGTATTTCATACCGCCACAACGGCGAAGTACTCGAACACGCCTAGATATAGACAGATTTTGGACAGTTTTACATCAGTAAGGAAAAGCCTCGCTCGTTACACTATACCTGTCTGAACTCATCCGTCATAGCTTATCTGTCAATTATGTAGACACAATGAGAAACATTTGCATCTCCGGAAACATCGCTTTCGATCTCCCTGCTCAGCCTGACCTCATGTGCAGAATGAATTATTGACAGATTCGTCAGGCACAAAGTCATACGAGCGGCGCGGAAAGAAAGCGAAACCAGAGCCCTAAGGTCGTCACCTCTTTCACTAAAGGGTTTTATTTGGATGTTGTCCGAGATAATCAGTTTACAAAGGTCCGTTTACAAAACCACAAACCACCCAGAGGTCTGTCAAAGAGCTCGCCCGGCTGCCGTAACTGAACTCTTGAATGATAAGCGAGGGTCATCCGAGTCGGCGGCTCCCGGGCACCGACTCCTGCAAACACTGCCAAACCAGCCCACACCGCCTCCTGACCGCCTCACCGCGGAGCCCCGTGGCCGGGCGGGAAAGCACGCCTCACCTCCCTCCTGACGTTCAAAAGAGAATAGTAGTCATCGTTGTCTAAATCCTCATCTCCCAAGGCCGCCGCCATGCCTGCAACCTTTCAACTCCGCCTCCTGCCAGCGACAATTTGGCTGCGTTCGCGGCGTCTGCGCTCGCGGAAGTCTGCGCGGCGTCTGCGCAGCCTCCGCAGCCAACCCGCCCGAGCCTGGCGCCTGCGTCAGCGCAGCCGGAAGGGGCGCCGCCGGGCCCCGCCGCCCGCGAGCCGGGCAAGAATCTGCGCAGCCGCGCAGCTCCTCCAGAAGGCGGCAGCGCAGGAGCAGCCGGGGAGCCAGAACCGGAAGAGCGACGACTGACAAAAGAAGAGAGCGGCTACCCGCAGATACCTCTCATTCCACCCTTCAGCGCCACCTAGCCAGGGGGGGGGGGGTGAAACGCCTACTACTTTCGCTTTCAATGTGCGTGTCATTTCGAGCGACGGCAAATGAGTGAGTCGTAAATTGTAACCATAAGAAAAACAAACACGTGCTATTGTTAATGTACGAGTGAAATGTCGACTGATAATCTAGGAGTGCTGTGTTGTTAGTGAATGTAAATTAAGAATCGGTTGCGCACCTCCGTCTCACCCTTAAATATTGTGAAAAACGCCCACTAATGCAAAATAATTACGCCTATCAATAAAAAAAGAACAGTTTTGCTCTTGTGTCTAGGTGTTCACATTGACACATCATTTGTATCTTTTAGACAATGCGGGAAAGCAATAAAAAAAGGCAAAAAAATGTTCAGATACATAGTGAAAGGAGTATAATTAACATCAAGGGATCAGTCCAACGGTTTTCTTACCTCTTAATCCAGTTCAGGGTCACAGGAGAGCTGGAGTCTACTCCCGCAGGAAGCACAACATCACGGGGCAGACAGACACAGACACAAACACCAGGGCCACTCTTCCCAGAAGCCAGTGAAGCCACCAGCATCTCTTTGGACTGTGGGAGGAAACCAGAGCTCCTGGAGGAAACCCACACGAACATGAGGAGAACATGCAGACTCCACACAGACAGCACCCCAGGGCCAGTATTGAACCCAGGGCCCCAGCGCTGTCAGGCAGTGATGCTGAGCGACCCATGTCAAGGGAGGGTTAATTCTTTCACACACTAGAGAAACATCCTTTAGAAAGGTGCGTACAATTGTTTTCTGGTGTTATAGAAAAGATATTACTGCTCTGGAATCGACCAGAAGGTGCAGTCTGGGACTTAAGGGAATGTCCTACACCGACAGGCTGAAGGAACTGGACCTATTTTTTTATCTTAGGGGACTAAGCTATTTCAAAGCAGACAGAACCATCCTAACACTTTCCTATAAGTCTTGTATTGAAAGTGTCTTGATATATTGTCTTCCTGGCTGGTTTGGCAACATCAGTACGATTGATTGTAACAGGCTGGGAATATTAGTCAAAATCAGTAGCAAATTAATCGGGGCAAATCAAATCACTTTAAATATCCTCTACAACTAGAGGGTAGCACAGAAAGCAAAGTGTTTTATTGATTATGTCGCCTCTGTGTCCCCAGGTGTATTACTGATAGACACAGGAAATCTTTCCTTCCCAGAGCAATATCTCTTTCAAACAATTATCGTCACTAACTTCTCCCTGATCTTGCTGTGACACTGTTGCGCTGACTTCTTGGTTGCTGTCATTGCGTTGTTATGTTGGGAGTGTGCTGTAAAACGAATTTCCCCAAATGGGACAATAAAGCTTGAATTGAACTGAATTTGAGTCTTGAGATTGCCTGAGACTGCCTGATACAGATACAGTATTCACAATCAGCACAGAGTCAACACTGTGGACTTCTTCAGGATGAACAGTGAAACATGAACCAGAGAACACAACCCTCTTTGCACAGAGGGTTGTGGGAGAATGTAACAAGCTGCCCAGCCATGCTGTAAGAAACAGTAGGATGAGATTCAATTTCCTCCTCACTACCAAACAGGCTGAATAGCCTCTTCTTGTTTGTAGCTGTTCCTGTGATATTTCACTACTATACTCAGGGTGAGTCACAATATAATGCCTTTTCATTTCACAGTATATATAGAAAGAGAACAATGACACATAAACTCATTAAGGGGGCTTTCTTTATTTCTGAAGTTTTGGACATGTCATTAGAAGATTAATATCACGTGTCCTTAAAATACATTAGATGGTCACTTGTTGGTAAACACTTTTTGCATGACAAGACAAACATAACATTCGTTTTTACTCGCACAGCAAAGACTATTAAATCGAAACGTGTTAGGCATGTTACCGCATGGTGTGAAGCTTGTGAAACACAAATCAGATACAATGACATCCACTTATCCTGCGACGACAGCTGCCCACGCTTCGTCTGCACAGACCAATTTTAGAAATCATCTCTGCCCTGTTTGTTTGGTTACTCATTCCTTTGTGTCTGTCGCTCCTAATGTGCTCTAACACGTGCGTGCAAATTTCACGCCACTACTTATACTGGGATCAGCTCTATCGATACCATTAGCAATCCTTGCTTTGGTGATCTACAAATCTGCCTGTGTCATTCGCAGGCTCAAGTCAGTGACCGGGCAATTCAGGCACAGCGCCATCTGCTGGTCTGGAGGTGTCCTGGCACGCTGCTTCTTAGGAGAGCACGCCATCTGTACCCCTACATGGTAAAGGTCAAGACACCTTCTGGAATGGCCGAGTTCACCATTAGTGGGTGCCAAGATCAGCTAACCAAATTTGTGTTCCGTTTTCACCTGTAAAACTCGTTTATGAAGAACACGTTTTAGTTTTATTAACTTTTTTTGTGGTTTCACACCATTTTGCAACGTTAGAGCCTTGCAAAGCTCTAGTAAATGACAGGAATTTTCCATGCATGTTCTAACCAATTCATGGTTGCAGGAGAGCTGGAGCCTATCCCAGCAAGCAACAGGCGCAAGATGGGGTACACCCTGGCCAGGACCCCTGTCCATCACAGGGCAGATACGTACACACCAGGGCCAATTTTCCCAGAAGCCATTTTATCCTGCCAGAATGTCTATATAAGAGGACGCTGGGGCATCTGGAGGAAACCCTCAAAATCACAGGGAGAACATGCAAGCTCCACCCAGACAGCACCTCAGGAATTGAACCCAGGGCCCCGGTGCTACGAGGGAACAATGCTAAACACTGCACCACCCTGCCAGGATTGGACAATCTGATTAGTTTTAATTCACTTTGCTATTAAAAAGTCTTCAGAATGGTCTTTGTTTGGTGAACAAAACTCACCGGTTCAAACAGCATCTGTAGAACTGGGTTTATACAGGCTGTGTGTGTAGAAACAGTGCCGTGCAAAAGTATTCACTCCTTCCACTTCCAAATTGTTTTGAATAACAATTGATGACAACATTCTGAATTTGACATTTTTTATACAACTTCGAATGCTTAACGTGAAAACTTTAACAAGCGAAAGAAGTTAAATGTCTCTGAAAAAAAGGCAAAGGTGAATGAAAAACTGAAACATGTGGATTGCATAAGCCATCCACTTTCATCTTTTAAAACTATTCCAGAGCAGTGTTTGGCCTCATGTTTTGGGTCATTGTGCTGCTGAAAGGTGGATTTTCACCCCAGACCCATATTTGCAGTTTCACTTCAGTGCTTTATTACAAATTCCTTGTGAGACAGTGAGATCTGCCACATCGCCTTACATGCCGTCTTTGTGGAGTGCCTGAGATATCGGCTCATCGGGGACATTTTCTCCCATCTCAGCCACTGAGCTCTGTAATTTCAGTCAATGCCACCGCTGGCCTCATGGTGGCATCACTGAGCCGTTTTCTCCTTGCCTGGCTGTTCCCTTAGAGGGGTCTAGCTTCAGACCGCGTCTGATACACCTTCCATTTCTTAACAATCAATCTCTCCGCGCTCAAAGTGCTCAGTGTCTTTGAATTTTTCATACCCTTCTCACCATCTGTGCCTTGCTACAACCTCATTCGTGAGGAGTTCTGAAGCCTCAGTGGTCTTCATGGTTGAATCAGTGCTCACTACCTGACTGAGGGACCTGACAAAGAGGCCTATTCACCCAGCGTACCCCTTCACAGGGGCCACTTCACTAAACCCCTTGGTTTGGCACAGTACTTTTGTGCACCTCAGCTAAAATAGGCTTACTACAGCAAAGGGGTGAATGCAATCAACACATTTTGCTGGGTTATTAAAAAAAATCTTTTTTCACCCACAGTATAAAACTGTTTATTCCGAGCAGTCACGTTTTGATTAAACAATATCTGCCTTTTACAAAACGTTAACATCATTTGCAATGCAGCAACAACCAGAGACATCATTAGAGAGGGTGAATATATCTTCAAGGAACTAAGTACTATTACTGCTGATATTCTATTCTTTCTCCAGCTGGGGCATTATTCCTCTATTCTTTAATCTGTCAGGGTGCCGCTAATCTTTTCGCCTGACTGAATGTAATTTACCCAGTAACGCTGATTATATTGGAAGGTTTTAAGCTTTTGCATAGCAAAATCAACACGACCCCCCACAGTAGATCTATAGGAACAAGGCTAGATTATAAACCGTTATTTTGCCTGGGCTGTACTCTGTCTTTTGATTAATCAGAGATGTGATTGGTTTTGTCGGGTTCCCTGTTGGTGACGGTTCTGCGCTGTACTCCCTTGAGCCGTTTTAAAAAAGCACGACTCTTGACACCCGACACTTCAGATGGGCAAACGGTTAATTCCACGCTGCAAGGCAAAAGCAAGACGGGGCACAAAAAAACACGAATTTTCGACTGTGGGTCTGGACGTGAACCTGAACCTTTCTTCAGGCGCGGGATACGGCGCTGACCCCTGCTCTCCGCTCTCACCTAGATGAAACGCGCTAAATCCACAGGCCTTTACTGAATGAACTACGCGGCAAGTCGAAAGAAAAAAAAAGAAAAGAAAGAAAAAGACAGAGAAAAGGGACCTTACACCACAGCTGTCTCTTCGTCGAAAGGGCCCCTCCGACTTTAGTCGACAAACGCTATTCGCTCGCTAGAGTCCGGCCGGAGTCCGGCCGCGTGGCGGAAGTCCTCGCCTCGCCCGCGTCCGCGCGCGCGCGCGCGCCATGGGGCCCGTGGGACGGCGCGCGCGGGCCGGGCTCTCCCGCCGCCGCACCAAGGAGACATACTGTATAATCGCCACCCCCCGGCCGGCCGCGCCTTGAACTGTCTTTGACCGGTTAAAATGACCCCCCCAGCAGGCAGCGTCGGAAGTTGATTTGGCCAAGTTTGCCCTTGTGAATTATTTACTTTCCCAGGCGGTTATATGACGGGTTTGAAAGCGAGACGCTGGCCTGCGCGGCCCTGCGTGTTGCGCGTTATCTGTCGAGGAGACTGAAGAAAGAAAGAGAACCCAGTTCCCTTCACTTTAATTTAGTGGGGGGAAAAAAAGACAAGTTTTAAGATGTTCTCCCCTCTTTTGGTCCTCGACTCGTCTCCGGGAAGCTGGTCTCTTAATACATCACGAGGAGAGGGTAGGTTTTCTTCTTTGGCAACACATGTTCCCTCCGAAACGTAGCATCTCGCTTCCACAACGGAACAAGCGTGGTCCCCTGTGTTTTGTTTTCAGTCCGCCTGAGTCAGTGGCCCGAGAAGAAGAGCTGGTGCCGCTCTTTCTCGTCCTGAAGTCCGGGGAACCGGTCTCTGAGGCGGCGCATGAGCCCCAGAGAGAGACACTTTCACCGGGAACCGACTCACATTTTGACGCTACTGCAGGTAGGACCTCCGCTGCCAAACAGTAAGGGGCCCTGTTGCTTTCGCTATGCTCAATAAAACTGCTGTCAGAAAGAACCCCCGCTTTCCGAATCTGCACATTTAGTAAAGGAAGACAGAAAAAGCGCTTTCATACCCGCTTGCACCAAAAAAATGACAATGCAACAGGACGAACGCGATACTGACAGCGCCAGAGGCGTTACCGTGACCACGTATAAAGTCAAGCGCGCACTCCCGACTTCAGCAGTCCCTAAACACGAACACTTTCAAACCCCGAGTCTCTCTTGTCTGCTCCTCACTGGTGAGGTATTCGTATCATAGCGCGCTCACCAGCAATGGGAAAGGTCAAGATTTTTGGAAAGAGCCTGCACGGCATCAATCTCGCTGGCTTTAAATATCTTTTTTTTTATTATTATTTAAATAATGCCGGTGGTGACGGCGCACTCGGGCGCAGTAACATTTAATCCATTATCTGCGAACGGATTCCAATTAGCGTTAAAATATGTTCATTAATCCGTCAATGAATTATCTAGTCACACATTCGCCGTTGCATCTGGGTGGGTCCCGCGCTCGGGCGTGCAATTAAGTGTTTTAAAAATAGCATCCGAAGTACTTGTTTCTGAGAGTCTTTCCGGATGCGAATACGCAGGGGACACTGACACTGTTTGACTGCGGTCATTAACCACCGCATAATTTCTCACGTTCGGTCGTAATATCCTCATAGTGTGAGCATATACTACAGCCTCATAAACAGGCAGCCCCAAGGGGAATAATCCTCGCACGAGTCTGACAAATGTTAGTCATTTATATTCAGGGGATTTAGTCTGAGCCTCATCTGCATGACAGCGGTGTAGTAATCACAGTCTGATTCCACGCCGAAAGAATGTTTCGGGCTTTGAGTAAACAGAGGCGGAGAGTTAATTAATGGTCAGCGTATTGTCTGTCCCCAGTGTGCAAGGAGAGGCGGCTGTCGCGCGCTGCGGTTGGCCCTTTGACATGACGTCATCGGCGCCGCCGCGGAAGTCGCACCTGCGCTCGCGCCCGGCTTGCAGAACTTTCTCTTTTAGGGGTTCAAATGCGCACCTTCGATTTAAGAAGTCTGAAAGTTTGTTATGCGCTGCAAGACGGAGTAAGGAAAAAAGAACGATTGTTTATAATCGATCTGTTGATTATAAATACGCTTGTAAGATGAAAATGCAGTATTACTTAAATCTCCGTTGATAATGGAACAGTAACAAGGCAAAAAACACAACTCACGTTTGTAAAAATGTTGACATTATTGTGTTTTGGGGTCCTGATTTGTAATTACTTCTGGCAGTGTTATGTTTTGTTTTGTGGTTGTTGTTTTTTTTTTTTGTTTGTTCACATCTTTTTTGGATATACCTGCTCTGTGCAATAAAAGTTTGGGAAAACAAAACTGCGTGGCACACCTGAATTCAGGCGTGTTCCTGTGGGGTCTGCCGCTGGGATCAAATGTTGTTGTCCCATGGAAGAAAACCTCTATTATCACATAATCAAGAGGTTCCTTTAATGACATCACAAACCAGTCCCTGGGTTAACAACCGGCTGTGGTGCTGCATTCATTCAGTTAGTCAGAATGTCAAGTCTGCGGATTTCTCATAAGTCGAGATTGCTCTCCAGCGAACATTTCTTTCGAAGTCTAAACGGTCCGTTCTCTTTCGGGGTAATTGTCACGATGATGGGCTCTTGCTGTTCCACTATACAGTGTATGATTCCGCTGTTATCCCCCGGGAACGATAAAGGTTTATCTCCAGGCAATTTCGGAGATGCCTGCTTTCTGCGTTGACAACACATTTATTTTTCACAGATTCGTTTTCTGAATACAGAAACCGAGTGCGCATGCAGCAGAGATGGGCCTTTCGTGCCTCGTGTGCTGTCGCATTACTTTCAGTGTCCACCTGTTGAGTGAGCAGTGCGCTCTG